TGCGAATTCTCGTACAGGGAGCACAACCAGTGAAAGGTGTAAAAGAACCTTTTATTCAACACAAAATATTTAACAGATGGTACGGACTTACGTGCTTCCCACCGACCACTTGCGTTGAGAACTTAAAAGATATTCTAACACTAAATTTAAAGAGTAGTGCAAGACTACACAATCCAATTTAAGCTAACAGGTTGGTTCAGAAACCTATACTAGCAGGATTCAGAAACCTCGTCGACCAAAAGGTAACCAAAAGGTGTGTTAAAATTAACACCTGATAGAAACTAATAACGTGACCTCACAACAGCGAAATCACGCTCTGTCTAACCTTTTGTCTAACCTTTTCGCTTCAACAGTTTAAATACTCTCTTTCCTCCTAACTTATTTACATCCTGGCGAAGAAACGCGAGGGAAGTAAGAATTAAAGGCCCACAAAATGAAATAACTGCTAGTAAAAATAAATAAAACCCTATATCGCATCATGATCAATAATAACGATTCCTGAAATAGATGGTGACGTGTTTCCGGGTGTAGATGGAACGTTTCAGTCACTGTAGATGTTGGGAGCAACCAAACCCATAGCTACGGTTTTCAGCGCACGGGGACAACTGAAGATTTCGCGCCCACCCTCTATTTGCCAAGAATGGAAAACATTTCATTCTAAAATTTCTTAGCATCAATTTGGTGTCTCCTGGATGCTGCGCCCGGGAACAAATGTTCCCCTTTGCTCCCCCCCCCTAGCTATGCCTCTGGTAGCAACTTTTCGGATATAGTTTGTCAACTGCAGACGAGACTGAGAAAATTGATTCAGAATTTTTAAACCATACTATTTTCATTTCTTCTTCTAGATCAGTTATGTGTGGGCTATGAGTTGTTCACTAATGCCTAGTATAGATAAACAAAATCTATTTCATATTTCGAATGTATTAAGCAATGCTTTAATTTTAAATAAAAGGCGATACCGTTGTAGTATTCATAAATGAAGACAAAATTTTATATTTAACTTTATTTATTATAATATACTTTTTTGTACTTGATAGCGTCTCTCAAGGACGATACTGGCATTAACATTTCTTTCTCTTATGTCATTATGTGAGATTCGGCGCAGAATTGGAAATCGCTGCCGAAGGAAAAAGTACACCGCGTATTTCTTCCGCAACATTCATAATCAAGCTGACATCTGCTTCCTATAGATTTGCAACCAACGACTCTGAAACAAAAAACGAAGCAAATAGCACAAAATAAGTATAGAAAAGTAGGTGAACTAAAAGAAAAAAAAATTAAAAGCTTTCAGATTTTATATTACGTCCAAAGGGTCCTTTTTTCTAACGTTCGTGTGCTACCTTTATTTATTAAATATCACGTTCTTCGCACTTAAACTACATAAATTTCAATTCAATAGCAATATCACAAAATATTTAAAAACAACATATCTTTAAAATTTTCAATAGACAGTCTCTCGTGCTGGACATAATATTTTTTTTTCCTGTATATTGCTCGCTTTGAAATCGTTGAGTTTGTTAATGAAAAATTCGTTGAAGTTTTACAAAATGTGAAATAGATAATAAAACAAATTCAAAATTCTGACTTCCAGGTGCCCATTTTCGGTTAGAGGATTACGTTATTCAAAATTTAAAGGCTGTAAGTGCCGTCTTTTTTTTACAATAGGAGAAATGTACCTACATTCATACACACTCTCTATTTAATTTCTTTTAAAATAATACAGGGTGATAATATTTGGTGGCAACAATTTGAAAATCGATGGTGCAACGCAAAATCTCGTTTCGAGACTAATCCCTTCTGAGCGAAAGCTCCTTTGGTCCAAAAATCTAGAAACCTATATTACAGCCAAACGGGCGGGGTTTTTATATATATATATATTTTTTCTCTCTTTCTTTTTCTTTTCCTTTTTTTTCTTACAGACACATACATGTTTCAAGAGCATTTGAGCTAACGCCAATTTGGGCTAAAAATAGTTAAAAACAGCATATCTTTAGAATTTCCGATAGACAGTTTCGCGGTCTGGACCAGGGGCGTAGCTAGAGGGGGCAAGGGGGGCATCTGTCCCCGGGCGCAGAATCCAAGGGGCGCCAAACTGATGTTACGACATTTTAGAATTAAATGTTTCCCATCCTTGGCAAACAAAAGGGGGCGCGAAATCTTCAGTTGTCCCTGGGCGCTGAAAACCCTAGCTACGACTCTGGTCTGGACATAAAAATGCTTTATTCCCTACAGTGGCGGGATCCAGGGTCGACGAAAGGCAAGAAGGTACGAAGTGAGAAATCCAGCATCAAGAGAGTGCTCGTTGTGTTCTTCGACTTTGAAGGTCGCATCCATAAAAATTCCTACCTGAGGGCATCACCTTAACTGCCGCTATGTACATGTAAATACTGAAACATCTTCCTTTTCTTTTCGCCATCGACAAAACAGCTGACCCACTGGCTTAGGTGCTGTTCAGCCTGTTGAATCCCGTCCATGGAATTACAAAAAAAAAAAAAAAAAAAAAAAAAAAAAAAACCACGCCTTAGTACTGGGTCCTCCGGAAATTGACTATGTAAAGCTAGGAATACTTAAAGAAGAACCAGATCATGGAAAGAAAGTGCATGGTAGGAACTGTTGAGACTAAGGGGGAAATGCTGATGACCACTTACCTTGCGCACTGTAAAGTTGCTGTTGCTTACAAGGAGGTACTGTCATTGTATAGTACAGTGTGGTCATAGCTGTAATGCGTACTGACAGTTATACGATTAAATAAAAAAATTATCCTGTGGATGCTACATAACCCAGAGCTTTGCAAATTGGTAATATGTTACGTACCTCTGTTATTTCAATGCATGTTTTAATTACTTTTCATTACAATGGTATATTTTAGGCATACAAATATAAGAACAGGGTACAGATGTAAAGTAAAAATCTGAATGAATACATTAAAAGTCAAGAAGCTGAACAAATTATAAATTAGGTTAAGAAAACTGTGCATGTATACAAGCTGCGTTTACATTATGCATTATGCAAACAACTAATGGCAAGAAATAAGGGCAATATTGCAGATTATATCCATGTTATCCACTAATACATGAAATGGGTGGTGAACTCAAAGAGTTGAGTTAACGTAGATAATGTCATATTAGGTACTAAATAAATTTAAAAAATATACAATAAAACATGTGTGCAAACTGATTTAAAGAACATACATTATTTCACATAATACCTATTTTTATATATTTAAGATAAAATCTTATTTGTATATACTTAAGGTACAGTGCTCTTTGGTAAGGCAAAAGATAACCAAAATTATATACACATTTTGCCCAGAGCAAAATTTTAGTATTAATACGAATTTTATACTTAGATAGTAAATTTTGATAGAATTATAATTAAAAGTGTCGTATCTCCCCGTGCAACTGAGCGCGAGACATATTTTAAGATAAAGCTGTGCTGGAAAAGTAAAACTATGGGGGCACGTGCATTTAACATTGAGCAAATGGATATCTCGGTAATTTGTGTTGAAATCGAATAAATTTAATTGACCACTGTGCTAACCGAAATTCCATCCTCTTATTGCTTTCCAATAATTTCGAGTAGCAGAAAGTATTAGAAATATCTCGCGACTGGTTGAAAGCTATAAGAGGCCGGAGAGAGAACGTCTCAGTTTCGTTCTTCGACTATTGTTATTGCGAGTTGTTTAGTTCCGCGTGAACTGAGATACCTGAATTAGCTTTCTCTTTAGATACGCTTTGTATTGCGTTGTGCGTTGTATTTTAACTTTTTGGGTAATCTGAAGTATAACTACTGATTATACTGCTTGATATTGTGAATACTTCTACGAATATCTCGGAGGAAAATTCCAGAGTTCTGATATTCTTTTGATAAGAATAAATTTTATTAACCTATTATCGGATTTAAGCACTCAGTGTATTACGAACTCGTGCGCACGTAACAATATACAATGTCTTAAATTAGTCAAAACAGCAATCTTATTTTGGCGTAAATTTAAGAAGAGAACTGTATCGATTTCGAGGGTGATCAGACATAGGTCCCTTTTCTTCAGCAGCAAAACAGTTATGCACTAATGCTCCTGAAGAAGTCTGATCTATGTATAATCAGCATCGAAATCGATAGAATTCTGTTTAAAATTTACGCTAAAATAAATCTGCTGTTTCGCCTAATTTTTAGGCTTTCCATTGGTATGCTTCACTTCCTGTTTGATATACGACATTTTTAACAAGTTGCCATATTGAAATATTACACTTAATGAAATATCGCGACAACAACTGTAATATAATAACATTGTTGCGTTTGTACGGGTTCATGGATTTCGAGCGACTGATAAAAACACTTAATGAAGAACGAAAACAGAATTGATTAGCCAGTATTACTTAGGGCAACTCCAAAAACACGTTTATAGTCGTCGAAAGACTACGACAAACACACTGAAACAATCAGCAACACAGCCTTCAGGCTATCTGTTTATAACGGAGAAGACAGCTTCACGGCAAAGCACTAGAGTACAGCTCCCGACTCGGTTCGGTCGTTCTTGGAACTCAACGTACTCTCGAGACTCTCCACGCTACAACTCGCGATACACTTGATAGAATCAACGACGCACACTCTCGATGCACCAATTCGCAGTACACTCGACGACCAACTCGACACTAGACTGACGATGTTCACTCCTACTCCGCGTACAGGCAGGTTTTATATAGCTTTTGGCCTGCCTTCGAGAACATTATGGGCCAAACCGGTAAGAATTCGTCCCAGAATGTTCTCCATCCGTCTATCGCATATCGTCAATTTTGTTGCCAAATGGGGGATTTCGCGGTAAATATGGCAACCCTGTCTTCCCTAGCCATTTTCTGGCATCCCTAAACCTGCTTTGCGGGGAAGCTATCTATCCGATCTGGAAATTTGGTTACACTATATAAAATTTCACGGTAACAACTGTAATATAAATATATAAATTATTACTATAAAAACCGCAATGTAAGTATAAATTTACTTACTGCTCTTCTCTTTTTTCAAACAAGTTATTTTCATCGCAAACCAAAGATTCATCTCTTTCTTCCATATTATAGTAATCTGAGATGGAAATCGGAGATTAATCTTAGTGTAATATTTTATCCTCATAATATTCAACAATTAATAATGCTGTAGAAAGTGAGATAATGATTTAGCTATACATATAACATTGATGCTTATAAATTTTGACGTTCTGAAAATTCTGTTCGAGATTTGACACTTATATGGCAACGACAATTATTCTTTGCGTAATTGTGCCCAATATACGAATAGCATTTGCTTAATTTCCAATTACGTTAAATTATTTTTAATTAATTATTTAGAAATTGGTTCTGAATTAACTTCTTATTCATTGAATCATTTATTATTTCATCAGTTATTTCTTTCCTTTTTTCCGCATTATTACCATTAATAAATAATATTTTTACTTCCAGCATATCATTAAATGGCACGCTTTAGATTTCCTCCGTAGACTCACCATTCGTATGTCACACGATTCCAAAGGGTCACTAGCGGCCCATACAGCATTTTTTTTTTTTTTTTTTTTTTTTCTTCTATATTTTGATTCTGCGACTCCAATTATGCAAAACTGCCAAGTTTTATAAAAATCGCAAGAGTAATTTTTAAAAATTAAGGTTTCAAAATTTTAGCTACTCAATGTTAATCGAATTTGATATATAGTTACTAATATCTCTTTTTTTTATTATTAAACTTACCTGATTCTTTCACTAGAATTCGAAATTTAGGCATAATCCAAATACAATTCGCACATTTATATATATATATACTGTCAAATGGCTCATATACTGCCAAATGACTCGTTGTTGTGAAAGATCAAAGTAACGGAATTAGAATAAAAATCTTCTACCAGGAACACTTGGTAGATAAGCTATAGTGAATAACTGACATTTTGCATACATTGCAAAGGAGTCGATAGATTTATTCCTTCGACTCCATCATCTTTTATTTAAGACTGTGAAAAAATTGGGATACTTGACCAGAGAAAATTAATTCCCAGAAACTTCTAAAAAGATACTATAAATGCCTAAATATTATAGATCAACCGAGAAAAAGATTCCGAAAAGAATATTTGACAACTTCCGTTCCGAAATCAAAAGAAAAGTTTCAAGTTATCCTCACGGACGATATATTACTAATTGAAACTGAAAACCGAAAGAGACTTAATTAGCTTATAGATTATAAGGTATATCTCCTGCCTTCTTAGCATGCCTTCGTTGTGTAGTGGTCAGCACACTAGGCGCATATTCGAGAAGTCCGAGGTTCGAGTCCCGGCGAGGGCATTGCTCATTTCCTGCTTTTAAAAAATACCTAATGTCTCTGCAGTGGTGCCCGAACTGAAAAAGATAGTGGATGATGATTCTCCGCTACCAGGATTTGGCGATTAGTTCCCCAAATCCCCAGTCGCCCCTTAAAAGGGGGGTATATAATATATATAATATATATATATATATATATATAGATAAGCTAGATATATATATAGATATATATATATATATATATATATATCTGCTTTCTTAGCATGCCTTCGTGGTGTAGAGGTTAGCACATTCGCGAATTCGAGAAATCCATGGTTCGAATCAAGGCGAGGCCATTGTTCATTTATCATGTCTCCTGCTTCGAAATAACCGAATGTAAAACCATAAAATAAGGTAATACGAGGTAAAGCCATAAAAATCTTCCGAAGTAGAGACGATTGGTCACAAGTAGCGAGGAGCTTCATACGTAAACTTTTGCACATTCACTTCGTGAACTTAGAGATATCCTGGATTCTTCCCAGGAACCTTCCTGGAGATATCCTGGGATGATCATGGATGGTTAAAACTATTCTGAACTCTATAAATAATTTGAAACTCGATTTTAGCTCTCTAATTTTTAATATTTGAAATTTATTTAAGATTTAGTTTTTCATTTTTTAGTATTATTGTTTATTTCATTTTATTACATTATTTTTTGAGTAATAGTGTAAATTTAATTCTGTGCTTAATTTCTAGTTTCCACCATAAATTAAAAGTAGGAGTGTGTTACGAATCTAACCTGTAGCGTCGTCTACCTGTAGCGTCGTCTGGAGGGTATGGAACCTGTAGCGTCGTCTGGAGGGAAGTAAATCGTTCCCTCCAGACGACGCTACAGGTTCCATTAGTGAAAGATATTTAACCTTGTTTTCCGCCTGCGCAATTAGTAACGCTTCTATTTCGTTCCGATACAAGAGCCTAAGAACTGTAGAGGTAGGCCCATCTGTTACTCTTACAGTCATAAATTAAGAAACTGTGCTCTAGTATTTATGAAATAGTGGCTAAATACTTATTTTTATGTGATGTGGACGTCAAAGTGTAAAGTGTCGGTAGAAGTAATAGGTGTGTTTCGTCAAAAAAAGATCTTTTTCTCACAGGTCACCACCACTACGAAGTATATATTATGCCATGTCAACCAGAGGTAATTAGGTTTTCTTGCTCCTTAATATAAATTTTAATTTTAATTGAATCTCCCTTTGTCAGTGGATTCTGACACCGCTCGTTAACAATAGTTGATTGGTTAAAAAGACTCAAAGGTTTTTTGACAAGCGACTCAGGTCATACAACTTCGACATAAGACGAAATAGCCTCTGGTCCTGCAATTATGGTGAAAATGTAATTAATCAATTTATCGAGGTTTTCTTTCTTTCCCCCGACAGCGAGGCAGACGATACACTGGGGCAGTTAGCATATAGGCCAGATAGCCCCACTGATGGAATTAACTTGGTCCAAATAACACATTTTGGGGCGTATTGTGTTCAAATCGAGTGCTGGTTGCTGCACAAATAAATGCTGGGCGAGTCGATAGTGCAATGATGGAAGAAGGGTGCATTGCGGGTGAGGAGAACAATTTAAGTTTCATATTTACAGAGTTATAGATAGATGGTTACAATAGGCATCCACAAAGTGAACAATAAATGAGCACTGTACAACATATGAGCAATTAACAGAGTGAATGATGAAACAGTAAAAATAATACATAAAATAAGACAAAATACTAAACATCAATACTAAAAGTAGACTAGAAATACTAGAAAGCAAAATAATACATAAATAAAATAAGGAAAAACAGTAAAACCAATACATAAAATAATGTAAAATCATAATTCAAGGTTCGCAATATATCGAGGCTATTATTGTTTGGTAATGGAAGAAATGTGGTGGTAAAATCTTGTCACGCAATATCCCTGATCAAACATTCGCTGTTGGACTGTCCCGCTTCAACTCCCTTGTGATATGATAATTTCTGCATCCGCAAATCCCGGCATGGTATAATATCTATCAAACTGAAACAAACTGCTGTTAAAAAAACTTTGATATACATGTAATAACACCCGAAAATATACAGAACTACCTCATACAGGTTACTCACAATAATAGGCTAAAATTATTCAGGAACCTTGGGATACAATGGGTAGAAGTTATTCAGGAGCCTTGGATACACTATACTAAGGTAAAATTTTCGAAGTTCCAATACTGTTGAAGAGTACATCAGGTATTCTTCGGTTGCTATTGCGATACAAGGTAAAATATTTAGTCAGTGTAATCTGCAATAATCCGCAGAAGCTGATTTCAATCATTTAATGGATATTAATCCGTGTCTCATGTTGCTTGTACTCGATAGATCTGACATACGTGAGATCAGCTCCAGAAGGTTGTTGACCGCCAAACAATCTATAGCCATAAGTGGATCGGATGTTAAGTTTCCCTTAGAAAAACCGATGCAACTCAGAATGTGATCTGGTGAAGCTGGATGGTCACAGCGTTTTTTACAAGTGAGATGAATTTTTCTGCCTCCATCAAAGGAAAGCCCTTTAAGGTGGCCACTTCTTAGTCTAGCCAGAGGCATTCTACAAGCAACGGTTGTATTTGATTTCCAGCAGAGATCCATGGGATATTCTTGTGTACCATTAAGTGCGTAGGTGGACTACTCCATATTAAACTGAGTTTATATCTTTCATTTGAGTATAGTTCTTGATAAGCGAAGAGCCAATGTCCATTTAATTCTCACCACCCTCTTTGGCCAGTCTTTCAGCGACCTCATTACCACGAATGTTAACATGTTATGGGATCCACTGGAGGTGGACATCGGGGGTCTGAGAGGTCTTCCTCAGTTTGAACAGAATATAAACGCGAGGAATCGGTAATATAAACGCGAGGGAATTCAGCGAATGGATTGATCAGCTCAATTACAACTCGTCAAAGGCTTAGAGAGTTGTTTTAAGATGAAACGAAATTAACTTCCTCGATTCCCCAAAAGAAATGAAATGTGGAAACCTAAAATGGTCTTTACTCTAAACAAAATTAACTACGTATCTGACTAACTTATTTATAACCCTGTGGGGTAGTTCTGAATCGGCCATACAATAAAACGGTGGAACGGTAGACGTTATTTTGATTTAGTTAGAAAGTAATATTTTCTGGTGATTCTTAACGTTTACAATTTTTTTAATATCATTAAAAAGCAATGTAGAACACTATCATTCACATCTTTTCTGAATTTCTTGTTATTTATAGAATTATTATAATAAAAATATAGCTTAAAAATTATGTGCTTGGTTCATTTTGGAGGGCACTTAACAAACATGGTCTTACCTAGATCAAAACGGGGTAAAGAGGTTACAGTCACGAAAAAGAGAATAGCCAATACGAAGACATGCCTTAAAAGTTTCATGGTTAGAACTTTGAGACCTGGAAGATAAAGTGTGCATCATAAAATTAATAACTTTCTCGTAAATAGAGTAGCTCTGCTAATTTAAGTGCATTAGCAATTTCGAACTGTTACATAGAATTGCGTTTTGCTTAATTTTATGGCCTAAATAAGAAAATTCTTTTGAATGAATTCAGTTTAAAAGTGTTGGTTACATAATTAAAAAGGTGTTTCAATAGTTAATTCGCATACCTAATTACATTAATGATACAGTTAATACATTAATTCATTTCAGGAGCAAAAATATTTTACAATTTCATTGGCTTAACTTAGTTCAGCAACGTGAAACTTAAGCTGAACAAAATGTATTTTTAATCTGCTTCACTTGTTATGAAAAGCAACTGTTTCGATTTGAACCTTTTTTTTTTTTTTCTTCTAGTTTATGTCATTTTCTAGTTAAAATTACACTGCATGTTATTACGAGTTTCTAATTGCCATATTTTGATTGTTTCAAGCATTTCGATTCTTTTTTACTAGTTGAACATTTACATTTACAAGTATCCATAGCGAGCTTTTCAGTTTCTACTCACCATTGGGCCCTCTTACTACTGCCTTTGATGGGGAAATCGAAGCCATTGTTGTGGCTATTCAACAACTGTCGATTCATAGTCACTCTTTTGTAAAGGCAGTCATATCGGTAAATTCCAAAAGTGCGCTTTAAGCCCTGCTGAATAATCAAAATAGTTCCTAAAGAATCTTAGACGGTAGTCTTTTGCTTAAGGCAATGGCACAAATAATTTCTTTCCAATATATTCCAGCCCACTATGGAATTATGGTTAACGAAAAAGCTGATACATTGGCTCTAAGAACGGAAGTACTTTGATAATGCAACTCATTAATAGACTACTTTCTTTTCACCTGACTCTTAAGTGACCTGTTCATTGTTTTAACCTGACTCTTAAGAAAATTCTTAAGCAGGATATGATTCAACGGTTATGGATAAGAGATGAAGATTCTGGAGGAAAACACAACTTTCATTCCCCAGTTTTCCAAGAAAGACAGAAGTAGCTCTGAACAGAAGTATGTCTGAACGGATGTGACTATTTGTTAGACCACTTCTGTAGAACTGGAGTGGTGAATTCCCCAAACTATGTTTTGTCTGACCCCAACCAGCCTATGATTTTTGAACAATTAAATAATTGTATTGTACTTTCTCGGTATGAAGACTAATGGCTTTTGGCATTTGTAAAATAAACATTTACATTTTGAGATTGTTTGCTTCAATTTTTCAATGGGTTTCACTCAAAATTTCACAAAAGTGCTGCTGTAACTGAAATGAAAAATGTGTCAGAAAACGTAAAATTACCGGTCAACATAACAATGTTTTAATGTTTTGAAGTCAAAATGCACGACTTCAAGTTTTGTTTAACAAAAATATTTGTCTTGTTCTGGAATCCATGCGCATGTTTCTACAGTTCGGTAATGACTTCTCAAAACTCGATGGTAGACTTGTGTGATCTCAGGAAAAGCGACGTATTTTCAAGTAGAAAATTAAAAGATTAGTAAAATGTCCTTTTCCACAAGACACTCATTCTTTGGGTTTGGCATTTAAGGTACGTATGCAGGTCACCTAGAGAAAATGTCTCACAGAGTCATCGACCGGATTTTAAGAAACTCAGAAATCACTCTGAGATTTCTTTTCCAATCATGGAACAGAACCCCCTTACACTCATCACGCTTAAAGAATTCAGTTCAGAAAAGCAGGTTGAAGCTCTAGAGAAAAGAGCTGTTCCATTTGTGGTAAAATTAAGATTTGTTAGGGAAAAAATATCGTTTTGCAACAAATTTTTGTGCCATGCCACACATCCAAGGAAGTTGCACGTATTCTTGGATGTACTTGACGACGTTAATTCAAGAAAGAATCTTAAACCTAGTCGTAATTAGAAAAGTGGAAGCGAATGATAATTCGTAAATAAATCTATGAATTTTCAATAAAATCAAAGTTTGATTTCATGGTGATTATATGCAATCAGTGAATCAAATACTGATAATATCAATAGCAAAATATATGGAATATGTTATCAAAATATAAATATGTTATCAAAATATATATTATACTATGTTTGTTACTAAGTTTGGTAAAGGTATGTTTCATTAAAATAATATTTTATGATGCGTTCATATTTGGGATTAGTTTACTTTTATACGAAATATTTTTTAAAAACATTTTATGCTTCCCAGAGTTTTGTATTGTTATGATTCGGAAAGCAACGTTTGAGTCTAACATCTCATGGATTAACGAAACATTCAGAAGTGTAAACTTGACAAGTTTAAAAAGTAACTCCCCTTACTTTTTAAAATGCCGGACTAAGTCAATATATATAATTAAAATTTAAATAAGGTATTTCTCCCGTCTTCTGGGCATGCCTTCGTGATTTGGTGGTCTGCACGCTGGGCGCATATTCTAGAGGTCCACGGTTCAATTCCCAGCGAAGGCGGTTGCTCAGTTTTCATCTTTCCGGCTTCCAAATTACTTAATGTCTCTACAAAGTGATTTAAATGTCTACAGTATTTAAAACTCCCTGCCTACTTAACTTTTGTAATTCAGTGTTTTAATTTTAAATTACATGCGCAATCTAAACTTGTATCATTACTTTCTGCCAATATGTGACAAAAGTGCTGAAGGGAAATTGTAATTTTGTTTCAAAATAGATATTAATAAGAAAGGTGTAAAACTTTGACTGATTATAAAGTATCTAAAGTAATACAAGAGAAATTAAAATTATTTAAAACAAAATATTTAAATTGCAATCTCTTATGATTGGATATAATATAAGCATAGATAGCTTAGAAGCGATAAACTAAACGCGACTTACCAACGCTCATCAAAATATAACTCTTTCCAAACTTGCCACTCGTTGGACTCGTTGGAAGAAAAAATGAGCTTTACGTCAAAGATAGAAACGGGAAGTATCTTTTATTGATAATAAACGTCTGTTATTTTATTACTTTATAACGTGAGGCATCTGGTAATCATTCTCATGGTCGTCTTCTAATTGTGAACGAAGCATACATCTAAAAAATGTCATTGTAACGATGACGAGAGATCACCCATTGCTACATTTCAATGTGCCAAGAATACAGGTGTCGCGTGACTGCTAATAGAAAAGGTATAGTAACAATTAAAAGTATCAATTATGTTTCCAAAAACTACAGCTGCAGAGACAATTTGTGCGACAGGTAAGCACAAGCCGCGTGTGACGTGTCTTTCATCAAATTTTAATTTATCTTAACAAAATTTTAGTTTCCATTCTTCTGAAAAAAAGACATACTTCATAATTATATCATTTTCAGAAATTACAATAAAAAGGATAAGTGATTTTTTGCCTTTTTCCCCAAATTTATGCAGTTTAAGAAAAAATTTACGAACCAAAAAATATTTGTTACTTTCATTGCTGGTAGAAATTTTACATACTCAGTGTTACGGACATCTTGGCTCTTTTCTTTTTTCCTCTAATTACAATATCGGTGAAATGTTAGTATTCAGTTTGAAGCTTAATGTTATTACTTACTTGCTTACCAGCTGAGTTGCAGTATCGCCTGTTATATGACTATCAGCATTTGTACTCAATTGGTAGAGCATTCTATTGTCGCTTAGCCAAAAATAGTATATAGAATAGAATATTAAAATGTATAAAAGAATATTAAAATTTGATATAGAATATTAAAATTTATATATTGAAATTCCTTTATAGAATATTAAAATTTGTAGCGGAATTTATAAAGTTGCTTGGGAAGATGGGTATTTGCGGCGCTGCCTGTGGTTATTAAAGAGACTCTGTCAAGACTTTGACTGTGCTGAATGAAGATTTTAGCGATGTTTTATGCATTGTGATTCTGAGTTTATTCTAGAATGGGGTAATGTTTACTCTAGAAGTCAGTGGTAACTGGGATATAAGAAGTTATTCAGGTGCATTATACTGAACAATATCAACTGGGTATATTAATGTACATCATATGAGCAGAGTTCCTGTGTAATATTTGTTTGTCACATTATAATAGTCGCTTGAGTTATTCACTTATTTAGGGTTCGCTTACAATTCACTTACATATAGTCTGCCTGGCAACTCAAGGGGATGCTGAGAAATACAAATCAGCGTGTAGAGTTGGAAATTTATGTGTTCGTTGAAGAACATGTGCGCTTCACTTCCAGAATATGCTCGATTCTCAAAAATAATTCTAATTACTCGTATTTAAGCATGTAACCATTATATGCTATTTTAAGTATTACAAAACTGCTTTTCGCCATATTTGTGTAATACACTTTTATCTTGGTAAAAACACTTTTAAAGTTAGAATTACATCCATTGTGTGTTCCAACAAAAGCATTGTTCCAACAACAATTTTACACCATCAAATTCGTCCTCTTAAACTCTGCTGAACATATATACGAGGTGTGACACAAAAAAAAAAAAACGAGCCTAAGCTTGAAAACAGAGTGGAGTTGGCAACAACTGTTTCGGTGACGTCATGCCACACACCTCCTCTATCCATGCGACCAGTTTCGACTTAACCGACCACGCCAGTGGCGAGTACTGCCTCATTGAGTAAACACGTGCAACTGCATTCTGCCGGAAAAATATCTAATGTAAAAACCGAACGCGAATCAACATCAAGTTTCTTGTGAAACTTAAGAAATCAGCCACGAACGAGGCTTATGGAGATGAAACTTTGTCTCATGCATGTGTATTTGAATGGCATAAGTGGATTTCGGAGGCAAGGGATATGTGTGGAAGATGATGAATGGCACGTATGTTTGAATGGCATAAGCGGATTTCAGTGTGGAAATTGATAAACGCGCTGGGTGCCCAAGGAAGCACCTAGCACGTTCATCATGATTAAATGGGTTTCCAGTAGTCAGACTGTCAATGAACACTACTACACTGAAGTACTAAAAAGACTTCATAGAAAAATTACAGGAAAAAAAAGACACAATTTTGTTGTGATGGATGGCTGTTGCACCAGGGCAATGCACATGCCCACACGACCCTATCTGTCAAGCAGTTTCTGACAAGCAGAAACGCTACTGTGATTGGGCATCCTCTTGATTCGCCTGATTTGGCTCCATACGGCTTTTTTTTTTTTTATTATTTCCTAAAGTGAAATCTTACTTAAAGGAAACCCATTTTACCTCAGCTGAAGAGGTACAGACAAAACGGAGAATCTCTAGTAAGGCCTTCCAGAAACCTCGTTCCAGAACTGTTACCAGCAATAGCAGCACCGAATGCAGAAGAGTTTGAATGCTGAAGGGAACTACTTTGAAGGTGATAATGTCACGGAAAATGTATAATGATTTATTGGACCAGTCTCTTTTTCTTTTCTGTGTGTCACACCTTGTATATATCATTAAATTCGAACGTAGCAGTCAGTTTATGAGGGAATGTTCTTCATAAACAAATATTTCTGATATCGACACTCCTCGATCTGGTTGAAGCAAAGCAGAACTATTTAATAGGCGAGAAGACGATAACAATCCATGATTTTAGTATATTACAACGATATGTGGGACAGTTTCTCAAAAGTTTGTTCCCCCTTCCCAAATTCTTTATCACAAGCTTATAGACACTTCTTGTATGATTAGTTAACAATTCAGGCATAATATATAACTAGAAAGCTGTGCCTCGTTTGCAAAGCTGAGATGAGAAGAAAGACGATGTCGATAATCGTTAGGATGTGTGGCAACGATTAAACTTCATCGAATGTTGCCATAGTAAGGATGAGCTTTAGAACACCAAATTGTTAAAGGGCGTTAGACCAGAAGGGCTATTACTTTGGTTTCGGCATTTTGCGTCGAAATCTTTAAATGTCGGTTCACTCTTCAAATTGTTGCCGCAAAATATTGCCGCTCTGTGTTATATTTAAGGAAATTAAATAATGAAGAATCTGCATAAATGTATGTATATTTCTTGTATAGTGATAAAACAATACCATCCAGTTTTGAATAACATAACATGGAATGACACGGATATTTTCGTCATTCTCCTACTGTACACCGAGACAATAAACCAGTTTCCTTCAGAAAACCTTCAGATTACCTTTATAGTTACTTTCACGTTTGTAAACGGAACTGAAAGCGAACAAAATGGCAAAGCCAATTTTTTGGAACTATGGATCGTGCATCGGCTTTGACAAACTTATCGATTTCTCCTCAAAATTATATTACAGTGCTTTTTTTTTTTAAATAAAAATGCATGTTCGTTACCACAACTTTGTAATCAAACCAAAATGTTATTGTTATTATTTATTTTCAAATTAAATTTTTTATCCATTCTTCAAGTGTTCGTTTGATATTTATGTTTAATTTATTTTTTATATCATACCTTATTTTTGGAACTCAAGTAGTTTCCTTAAAATTGTAAAATGGGTCACTCGGTGTCACGAGGTCATAGGTTGCCTAGTGTGAACGGCCCTTAAAGTCAACTAGTGCACCGTCAGTGTAGAGCAATGCACTAAATTTAGATGTATTTAAAAGAAAAATAACATCAGAACATAGTGAGGCTTTCAGTTGCTTATTTGAGTATAAATAAATGCATTTCATGACACGATAGGCATGATTATGCAGCCTAATCCGCCCCTCACATGTGAAAATATGTAAAATAAGTTTTTATTTTAACTGGATACCAGTATAATAGATAGTATCGATTAAAAAAAATGGTATCACACTCTTGTCTGCTTATCTTTATTTTCAGTAAGTTTAAATCTTAGTAATAAATGACATTCATGATAATATTATTTCATTTCCTGACATAATACGGTATTTAAAATGGTATCTTCATGTCTTTTGAGAGGCAAATGCACGTTTTTTTTTCCAAATATGCACGAACACTTGTAACCTTTGCAGCATTCTGAGTCAGACTGGCAAGGCCCTCCTTTCCCCAGCTTTTTGCAAGTCGAACCTCTGAAATGAATAAAACATATAAGATTGAAAGGAAGTATGAGGTAATATGGAAAGTTAGAACTTATTAAATAAACTTTATATATATATATATGTAATGATAGCACAATTTTGGAAGCAATGATGTAAGAACACTACGACGAGGAAAAGGAGAAACACTAATGGCGTAGATAATTGACGCTTAGAGCGTCCATCAATTTTGAAGAATAAACAGTCGAGCCGGATTACATTACATATTTATTTAAATTCACAGTGGGTGCCACAATTCACTTGGAATTCCAGTCGTGCCTATTTCCAGAACAATTTTGATACTATTTCGATAGAAGTGAACATAGAAGATTGCTGCAGTGACTTAACATGATGAAAGCGTAAGCCAAAAGAGAGAGTGTCGCAGCAGTAATGCAGAGGAAGAAGAAAGGTAGTCAAGTTTGAGTTAGTTCTGGTTTACAATTATTTTGATTGGGCAAGAGATATCTGCAGTAAGCGTTACGTAAGATAGCATGATTAATTTGAATGACGCAGTTTAGATTTATGGCGGTATTTCTAAGATAGAGAGATGAAGTCCCGAAATTAAATAAAAGTTAAAAAAAGTTATAGCCAATTTAATTTAGAAGTTTGCTTCCATATTTTTTATCTTACACATATATAAATATATATATTTAACAAATATTTTCTATTCGTAAAGCTAATATTAAATTAAATTTTAATTAAGAAATTAAATAAAAAATTTAATTTTAATTGCAAAAAAAATAAAAATATTAAATTATTGGTACGACCTAATTTACAATATCATTTAAATTCAAAGAGCATATGTAAATTAAGTGCACGTATTTAAAACCATGAAAAAATATATTATTCCAAAAAATTAAATTTATTATTAAAAAAATGCATAAGTGAATAATTGTTGAGCAGGCAGGAGACAGACTTATCAAGGGGAAGTTGCCTCCAAACCTAACTCTTCAATTATTCAATTCGTGTTTCGTCATCCATATAGGCAAGGGTAAAAGTAAAATTCAAAACCAAAAGTAAAACCAAATGTTGTGAATTACTAAAAACGAAATT